TCCGTGACCTGTCTAGTTGTTCTATCCATTATGGAAAATGGCATACTGAAGTCCTCTTTTATTATTGATGAATTGTCTATTTCTCTCTTCATTTCTCCATTTTTGCTTCATGTATTTTGGTGCTCTGTTGTTAGTTGCATATATGTTTAGAATTATTATAGCTTCCTGATGGATGGATCCTATCATTACTATGAAATATCCCTCTTTAGTAATAATTCTTGTTTTAAGGTCTATTTTATCTAATATTAGTACAGTTACTTAAGCTTTCTGTGGTTGTTCCAAAGCTTTGTTATGAATTCTCAAAGGCTTTGATAGGCAGTGTAAGTCAATAAAGAAATTGCTTCTCTTTCCTTTTATGTTATTTTTTTGCTCAAATGAAATATTTACCAGTCAGCAAACTCTCCTTGAGCACTAGGTATGGTCCACAACATGCAGACCTGCATGATGTGAAAACTCTTGTGTCTAGATAGAACCTTCTTTGTGGGATTGGTTGGTTTCTTTTTGTCTTCACTTCATCAATAAATTAAAATCACATCACATCCTCTTTTACAATAACTAGAAGTTCTCATGGACTAGGAGACCAGGACTCAGAGATAAGGAGGATGGAATTAAAGGGAAAGAAAATCAGGAACACATTTATAAAAATCATAGGAATAAACAAGTGCTAGGAAATAAGATGTTTACTTTGAACCTTTCAAGTCAGAAAAGCTCCCTAAATTCTTTGGGTCGTTCAGTTGCTTTGAACTCTGTAGAAGATCTCCCAGTTGATACCCATGGAAAATGGAGTGGGATGAGGAGGGCACGCTGGGGCCTCTCTGTCTGTGTGCCTCACTGTGCCAGAGTGACTACAGATTTCAAAAGGAAAAAACATTTAAGAAATACATGTAATACCATTCTAAGCAAGGGTCCCTGTTTGATCTTTCCCTGTGTCGAAGCTCACTTGTTGTCCTGAAGGATGACAGCCCAGATACTCCCACTGGATGAGAAAACCTCATATTCTGTGCCAGTTTCCTGTCATTGCTTTGAGCTCTAAGAGTTCAGAGAGGGGAGGGTGGAGTGACCTCTACCTAGCTCTGTATTGGCACGAGTCCCTGGTGACAGTGAGTCTGTGCTGCTGGGACACCAGCAATCTCGGGAGTAGCTCTTCCTCACTCTTTCAACAACCAGCCAATTTGGTCTCAGGAAGCCACTCTGCAGTGCTGGCTGTGTTTGGAAATCATTTTTAATTTTGTGACAAAGATGAATGTGTCCGGTGGGAATAGTAAGTGGTTTTACTGGTGATATTAATGGAACCGTGACCTCTTCTGTATCTATGGTCCCACAAAACAAAAAATGTTTGTATTATAATATGTCAGGCAAGTTCATTCTTAGTCCTTCCTTGAAGCAAACTGCAGAGGAAATATACTATTAATAAGCCCAGAGAATACTATTTGTATGTGTGTATCTGCAATTATAAGCTTGTTTGCAAACACAGTAGATTTATAATGTCACTATTAACTGTGATACAAAGATGTATTTCGAGTTATACACGGATGGTCACAAATCACTGCAGTTCTGACATCTTTGATCAGAACTGCAGTGGGCCAAGGGCTGAAAATGGCTTTCCAAGGCCAATAGCTCTAGTAAAATTCAAGTGTTGGGAGATCCAAAGTAACAAAGAGAAACAAGAAATTCCAAGGCACATTGAATTAGCCTCTTCTATTTTCATTTGGGATTGATGTTCATTAGCCTAAAAATGACTACACTGATGTTTACTATTTCCTGCAGGAGCTTTTTATGCCAGTGTCCTTTGCTTAAGGAGACAGTAAATTAGATTTGAAGGATTTACAATTTAGTTACATGAATTAAACCATTTCCTGGTGTTTGTGTTTACCTTGGGACTTACAAAGGAGACAAAAATATAGACTCCAAGGACGAAGGAAAGGAATGACCAAATCCCAAAGCCCCTGCCTGAATGTCCTGGTCAGCAACTTTATTTAGGGGAGGAATTTCAAGTGAATCTTTGCTTCTGTGTAAGTAACGGCTCCTCCCGGCACATGCCGCTACACTCATTGAGCTTTCCTAACAGACGTAACTGTTGACTCTAATAGTTACTGGCTCATTCACTTATTGGACAAAACCAAAGTAAATCAATGCAAAATTTATGTTTTTCCTTGAGTAAAAATGAATGGCACTTTCAATTCAAGATAAATTTAGTAATTTAAAATGTTATAAAATAATACACAGTCATTCTAGAAAATGTGACAAATACAGATGAAGGTAAAAAAAACAACACATAAAAGATACAACTACTCAAAGATAATTAACATTTTAGTACATTCATTTTGTCCTTTTCTATGCCATTATATGAATATATATTTATGCTCTTTATAGTTCAGATCATGAGTATAATTTGTGATTTTCATATATGCTAACCCCCTCTCTCTGTAAGTTCAAATCTGTCATAATAATAAAGAGCTAACACATATATAGTACTATCTGCCAGGCACTATTCTAAGTGCCTTACACATATTAATTCATGTAACCCTCCTAATGACTGTTTAAAGTAAATTTCACAAATAAGGCACAGAGGGTACAATGATTTTGTCCAAGGTCTCACAGCTGGCAAGGGGCAGAGCCAGTTTTCATACCCAGGTTGTAAAGGATCCGCTCTTAGCCACCATGACTTGCTTGCTGCCTTCCACTGGTGCTGCACCTGCTTGCCATCCTGTCCTGAAGCCTGCCTGCACAGCCCCGCCCTTTGGCACTCGGCCTCTCAGAATTCCTCTAGCCCCGGACAGTATGCATGGCACACAGTTTCCCTACTGAATGTGTGAAACTCAGCCTCGGTCTCTGAGAAACAATTGCAAAGGCCGCGCTGCTGATGGGGTAGCTTTCTAGGGGAGATAGAGATCCCACCCTGCATGGAATACAGGGGCCCAGCAGAGCCCGGGGGTCGGGAGAAATGGGCCTTCAGGCCCGGCTCTGCTTGCATCTAGACAATTTCACGTCCCCTGTTCACACCTCTGTTAGCACATCTGTAAGATGATGAGGCCGAATGGCCCTTCCTTCATGCAATACATAGTGGACCGAGGTGAATATGACGTTTCCTCTCCTCTAGGAATTCATCATCCAGTGTGTAGCCAGACAAGTAAACTGCTGTTCAGTGTAGAGCGTCTTAGGTGTGTAACAGGAGAATGCTGGGGACACTGGGGAAGCCCTGAAAGTGGGCTGGGGTGGAGAAGGCTCCGAGGAGGACCTGGCCTAGAAAGGCCTCCTAGAGGACAAGCAGGAATCACTGAGGTGTCGAGGGGCATATGTGAGGGGCTACGGAAGCAGGGTTTCTCGAGGACCCGCTAGAGAGGGTGTCAAACCATCCCATCTAAAGCAAGCTACAGCACTGTCACATTTTTTTTCTTTTTGGCTTAAAACTATAGAAATTTGTCGCCTCACATTCTAAACACTGGAAGTCTGCAGTCAAGGTGTCGGCAGGGCCATGCTACCTCTGAAACCCAGAGGGGAATCCTTCATCGCCCTTCTTACCAGGTGGTGGTTGCTGGCAATCCTGGCATCTCTGGTCTTGGAGCTGCACCACTCCAGCCCCTGCCTTTGTCTTCACATGGCTTCTCCTCTGTCTGTCTGTCTGTATGTGACCGTCTTACAAGGACAGCAGTCATATTGGATAAGGGTCACCCTACTTAACTGAAGTAATTATATTGGCAATGGCACTGTTGGACCCAGATGAGGTCACATTCTGAAGTACCAAGGGTTAGGACTTTAGCATAACACTTTTGGAGGGACACAGTTCAACCCATAACAATGTGCAGAGCCATCCTTACTTAGTCTCCGCAACCATCGCCTACTTACCACTCTTGTTTCTCTCCAGTTCATTTCCATTCAGCATCCAGATGAGCTTCCTTGAACCTCAGCAAGCAGGTGGGGGCCCAGTGAGTTCTTTCAGGTCCAGATGGAGAGAGTTAACACAGGACCTGTTCCATCTGTGCATATAAGGCTGGCACCATGGGGAGAGGACAAGAACACAGTAACTCCCGAGGAGACCATTGCCTGAGGATGTCAATGGATGCCTGACGGCAGGAGCGTGGTAGATTGAGAATGTCTCTAAGGGGATCGATGCTTTTCTTAGAGGAGTTACAGGGAAGCTGAACAGGTGGTTTGAATCCTTCTGGCCTCTGAGACTGGCCAACTGCCATATTTTCGAAGGGTGGTATGTTGGTGATTATTTGAAGTCTTCCCCAGAACTCTTTTGTTTGCACTTGTACACACTTTACTATTAGCAGGTACGCAGTGCATACTGAAGAAACTTTCATGACGTGCGTCTGAAAGAAGTGAAGTCTTCAATGCTGTTTCCCCAGCCTTCTCCCCTGCAACTGAGTAGCTCGGACTTTCTTCATTACTAGTCTGCCAGGAAAGCTCTAGAAAACCTTTAAATCGTGCTTCTGTCATTCAAATGCTAACCCTTCTCCCACTTGACATCTCTCCCTCACCTTGATGTGCTGTCATCTGTGCTCCAAAGTCAGCTGACCATTGTACCTACTGCCCTTTGACTTCTCACAAAGGCTCTGGGGGGTGCTTCCTGAGGCACTTAGCACAGCTGTGTGAAAAAGTTTATGCAGAATATTCTCCTTTCCCTCTCACTGCACTTTTATGGCTCCCTCTCCTGCCCCAGTGGTCGGAACCCCATCCCAACCCCCCACCTTCCAGCCCCCTACCCACCCACCCTCTGCCCCTAATCGCAATTGCGTATTAGGGCATCTAGGCAATCTGATCAAAGGCCAGGACCTGAAAAAGGAATGAGGTTTTCTGAAGAAAGCATTCTTCTTGTGGGCAGAAACACCCGAGGACCAAATTCAGGGATGAGAAGTGAACTTAAGGATCTATTAAGGGGAAAAATGATGTAACTGTAGCAGGGCCCACAGGGCCTCACCAACTTCAGTGTCTAGATGTCTGTCATGCAATCATTTATGAATACATATGTATTTTTTCATTTTCTTCTTATCCAGATACAGGTAGACCCTTCTTAGAGATGCACAGTGAAATACCCGAAATTATATATATGACTGAAGGAAGGCAGATCGTCATCCCCTGCCGGGTCACATCCCCTAACATCACTGTGACGTTAAAAAAGGTAAAACTGAGCAATGCTAATCTCAGAATATTGTTACTGCAAATGAGCATGAATGAATTCGTAGCCGTTTATCTCTCCGGAATCATTTTCTTAGGACATTTGAGTTTCTCAATGGACTTTTCGGTAACATCGTTTTACTATAAAGTATAAGTACTGGAAGTTACACCCATGCCTGTAATTAAATGGAATAAAATGATATCAAGCATCAATCTATGTGAATAAAGAAAAAAACTAAAATCATGGGAATTTTTATATGTTGCCACAAATCCAAAAGTCTGCAAATGTGAGAAAAACTAATTCTCTTGCTTACGCAGATTAATAACTCAGCAGAGAGTGGTTAAGCCAGATTTTTACTAAAGACAGAACTGGCAGGCAGCGTGCCTGATTCTCCCAGGCATTTACGAGCTCTTGCTTAATGCATAGGGAGCCTCCACCTTTAGTCTGAGTTGGGGAAGTTCCTGGTAACAAAAGGCTTAAGTCCTGCTGGGTATCCAAATTTAACCCCTTAGGGAAAAAAGAGGGGGTGGGGGTGAGCTATAAATGCGATTTTTCTTATTATATTGTAAATTGTGCAAGTGGAGAAGGAAAATGCTTTAGGGCAGAATCTAAAAGAAGATAAAAGCCAAAATGTGATGCTCTAGCTAATTCCCCAGCAGTGAGAGTCCAGAACTACGCTAAGGCTAAGAATTGGATTAAAAAAATCCCCAGATGAAAACTGGAGTGCCCCCTGAGAGCTTAGAAGTTTAAGCAGGAAAGTTAAGGCATCACTGGTCCCCGAGGCAGCGCCGGCAGAGCTGCCACATAGCAAGTGCTCAAGAACTGTTTGGTGGCCCCAGTGGTCAAGCTGGAAATGTGTAGAGTGATTTTCTTTCCTTCTTCTTCTTGTAGTTTTATTTATTTGCTATTGAAACAGAGTTGCTATATAATATTTTGGTTTTGGATGCACAGCATAGTGACTCAACAATTATATACGTCACTAAATGCTCACCGAAGGGTAGTTACCATCTGCCACCCTACAAAGTTATTGTAATATTCTTGGCTGCATTCTCTCAGCTGTGCTTCCATTCCTGGAACTAATTCATAAATTGAAGTTAGAGTGATTTTCAGTATCACCTACTGACCCTGAATCTGAGATCCGACGGAGATTGTCTGCCTGTCTGTCCTCTTCCCTTGTATTCACGTTCCCACCGTGGTGGCTTGATTTAAGCCCCCAGAACAGTCCATCCGAGATGGGTTTGGGCTCCCATTCTATCTCTGTATCAACACCAGGAATTACAAAATTGTTGTTATGTCAGAGCTGACACCCCTAGAGGAGTATAATTGAATCAGTGGGGAAAAAAACCACAGCTCCCCTGGGCGTTGGGGACTTCCTGGGCCAAACTGGGCGTGGGGATCAATATTTAGACTCCCCCTTTGGTGCTCTTGCCGCTCTGCTGATGGCTTAGTTTGTGATGGCTTCTGGTTAGAAGACCAGAGTGGTTGCCAGCAGAGCCTGGTGCCACACGCCTGGGCTCTTGTGACCCTACCACTTACCTGCTGGACAAACCGCCAGGATATACCGAGTTTTCACATCTCTGTCCGCCTGTTCGCTCCTCTGAGAGATGGGAGGGACCACAGCACCCACCTCGCGTGGCTGTTAGGAAGTCACTCGGGTGGTATATGGAAAGCACCTAGAACAGGGCCTGGCTCAAGGAAAGCCCTGTTCAAGGGTTAGCTGTTACTATTACTTATCTAACAATTTCATACCCAATACTTGATTTATTACCAAGTGATATTTTCAATGACTTGGGGTGTTGCTCTTCTCAATCCAAGGTAATAATTGCTATATGATTACTATGGAACAAACCATGGGAATACGGAACCTCTTGGTTTTTGCCCTAATGCAGATCATTTATCTGTTCTAATGCCGATTCCAAATTCCCACATGTAAAAATTTGGAGGAGGAAAGCTTATTTTCTGCTTTTCCACATAAGATCTATAGTGCAAAAAAGAGAGAAACAAGTGTAAAGTTCTCACAGGGATTTTGCTTTGCCATATATACATAGAAAATATTCTAACCTATTACATATGTGACAATGAAACTTATATAAGCTCTTTCCCTTCCACTTCGTTCCTTCCCCCTTTTCTTCTAATCTGCCGTCACCGCCCTCTCCTTTTTCCCATGCCCGCTTTGGCGAAGCCATCGTTAGCTGGGGACAGGCCTGCCGTCTGCCTGCCTCTATGACACGTGCAGAGACACATGCATCACACTCACTGTGGCACCAGCTGACAAGCTACACAGTCCTTGTCTTTTTCAGCTCTTGTCAGCCAGGAGTAAAGTTACTCTGTCAATGGAGTACTACTAGTGGCAATAATACATAGAGTGTAAGAGAAACATTTAGAAGAACTTTTAAATATTTTCAAGTTGTGTTGAGGAAGTCCATCAGCAAACCTTTCTTTTAGATTTAGCACACGCTTGTTTTCACATATTTTGAAAGCATCATAGATTTCAATCTCTGACTTAAATGTTTCAGTTTTTCCCTTGATACTTTGCACCAAATTAGAAGTTTTTTCCCCCCTGAATGCAGAGCATTTCAAGTTTACAGATTGAATCCTCATTTGCTAAAACATGAAATGCATCCTTGAATTACCTTCAGTTCTTCATGAAAAGGATGCAATTTATTTCAAGTTCAAGTCACACTCTGGTAACATAGACCAATACAGACCTACGCACTGGGAAAGGGTACTAGGGACCTTTGCAATAGAAATTTCTGCCATAGGATCACACACCCCAGCTAGATTAGCTCCTTCAACCACCAATATAAATAAATAAGTGGGTAGAGTGATGTAAGGTGAACTTTTAAAAAGAAGATAGAAAAGTTTTGAAACTTCTTTATGGCAGTTTGGCCTTCCCTTTATAATCTGTGATCAGATTCCTTTTTTTTCCTTTTCCAACTGAGGCTAAGTAATAGTGGTAGTCAGAATGAACTGCCCTGAAACTGGGCTGGCAACCTGGCCTCTGGGCCGCCCTATGGACAGTGATCCTTTAAAAAAAGTCTAATTCCAAGGCAGAACATTATTACTGTAGTCTTTAAAAATTAAGTCTTGGGTGTCTAGAAGGCCTAAAGGGAGAGCCAAGCCATGGATTCCTTGCCTCTGTTTGGATGCACGGTGTTTGGGAATGCCTCTGAGAAAGTGAGAGCTCTGCCTTCATAGCCGCGGCCCTCGCCCACGTGCACCTGTCTTCACTGTCGGCCTTGCTGCGGTTTCCCTCCCAGGGGCAGAGTCGGCGCCCTCCGCCTTCTCAGAATGATAACCTCAATGAGTGCTGACTTAATGCTGTGAATCTTGGAAGACCTGAAATTATTTATAGTCCTTTGAGGATGGCCACCTCTTCAGTAAATCACACAAAATCGGTGGACAAGTCACAGCTTGTTAAAAGCCTCAGATGATGAGACTCAAGAGAAAAATGTTGGAAAAAGTACAAATTGGTTTCTCTGTTGGTTATCAGGCCGATTTATTACAAGGATTCCCAGGGGCTAAGGAGATAGGGACCCCAACTAGAAGTCTGACACGGCAGCTAGGTCTAACCTAGGGTGGGTGCAGCTTGCTAAGGCTGACAATAAATGATCATAATTACTATAATTTATCATAGTAAATGTATATCTTGCTATGTGTAAAGTAAATGAAAGAATAAACAAACTGGAGTCTCCAACGGTACTATTTCATCTTAGATGAAAATCATGTTTTCATGACTGTTAGTGAAACTATATTGCCACGGGGCTAATAGGATTTTGTTAAAGCATGTCGTTCCTTTTCAGTTTCCACTTGAGACTCTGATCCCTGATGGAAAAAGAATAACCTGGGACAGTAGGAAGGGTTTTATAATATCAAATGCAACTTACAGAGAAATAGGGCTTCTGATCTGTGAAACAACCGTCAATGGACATTTGTACAAGACCAACTATCTGACACACCGACAAAGTAAGTGATGTTCCAACGACATGAACAAAAGCCAAAATGCTCAAGGGTGTATCTGCTTAATGAAACCTTGACTTAAAATAATAATAATAATGTTACTTCTTCCACTTGCAGCCAATACAATCATAGATGTCTATATTAGCACACCAAGCCCTATCAAGCTTCTCAGAGGCCAGAGTCTCACCCTCAACTGTACGGCTATCACCCCCTTGAACACGAGAGTTCAAATGACCTGGAGTTACCCTGGTGAAGTGAGTGACCCATTTTTCTATTTCTCCCCTGTCTTCTGTAAGACACTCTATTTTCAGCATGTGAAACGGCACTGAGTTTTTGATGTGGGAAAAATCAGAATATTCTGACTCATGCGGCAGTTGGCGTCACTATATAGCCGCTTTGGGTGTTTTCCTTGCCCGATGTTTCAGGAACGTGATGTGCACAGATAGGGTCTTTTGATGTCTGGGGTTTTGTTTTGAACCGTACAGGCTGGTATTTCTGTTGTATGGCTCTGGGTGGAAAAGGGGATTGTTTCATCCTGGGGAACTGTTCTCTGGAATTCCGAGATGAGAGAGACATTTATCACTAAATGCCAGGCAGGGACTATCTTTTGGAAGAACAACAAACAGTTGTTGTCAGAGCATTAATTTAAGATACTGGCAGACAGTCAGGCACCTGATGGGAGCATGTTTGGAAAAGACATTACAACCAGCCATCCAATATTCCATTGGTTGAGTGACGGAGGAGCAATTCTGTTCTTCAGAAAAATGAGAAGAATGAAAAATGAGTTAGATGCCCTTAAATAAAACCGAACATCCTTACAAATAATGGTTTTAAAAATGGGTAGATGGGGAATCTGTGATAAACTGGTAAGAAACTTCAACAGTCCTTCCAGCCCCCATGTCTTGTGTGTAGGCATGAATTCTGTGGCAGAGCCCAAGTGCAGTCGTTTATGTCATTCAGACTGCCTGATAACAAAGTCAGCTTATGACTCAGTTATGTAAGAAAGATGAATGCATTAGCCCCAAGTTATTGATGCAAGAAATGCATCAACATTTCTTGCCATGGAAATAGAGTAACTTAGCAACAAAAAGGTGTAACTCGTGCCCTGTAGGGACACATTAAGGACTTATCAGACATGAAGTACTTTCTAGAAAATACTTATTTTTCATTTAAATTATTTCACTGAAATAAAAATGCTGTGACTGGTAGCGGTATTCTCTTGGTTTCAATAGAAGTCAGATATTCTGAATAAAGAAATGCCAAGAGGGAAGGAACTTTTACCCTGTTAGTTTGTTATCATACATAAGGGTATGGTAATACCTCTACTGAATGCCAATTCCCTTCTAAGTTGGCCATGTCCAATAGAACTGTCTATAATGGAAATATTCTGTATCTCTGTTGTCCAGTACGGTAACCACTAGCCACATATGACTAATAAGCACTTGTAATGTGGCTAGTGTGACTAAAGAACTGAAGTTTTAATTTTGTTTAATTTTGATTTAAATAGCCTCATGCAGGTGGTGGCTACAGTGCTAGATAAGATCATTGTCTGAAACCCAGGACCAGTTGTTTTCCAAGGCAGAAAAAATACCAGTGTCACTCCAACTTGGGAAGGAAAGGAGAAGGAGTAACTACACAAATAGGGTTGCTGAAAGGTTGTTGAGTCTGTTTTTTAGGGGGCTGAGTCTGATTTTTGATGGTGAAGACTGACATTTTCTCTCTGGTTCTACTGAGAATGAAGAAAATGGCCTAACTGTGTGTCTGTCCCCGCAGGGCAATGAAAGGACAGGCAGGTAGAAGTTTATTAAACTTATGGCACATAGGAGAGCTAAGTACAGGACCTACGGATCAGCTGTGGACAGTTTCCAAAGTCTTTTTTTCCAAGCTTCATCATTGGGTCGGATTGAGAGGAGGAAATAACTTATTACGTGTTCTAAAATGTAATGTTTCAAGAAAAGCAGAAGGAACAATGCAAGGAAGAGACAGTGTGATCTCGTCCTCAGAGAGGCAGGGGGGCCCCTGCTGAGCCCCGATGCCTGCTCTGGGTCTTCCTCAAGGCCAGTGTGTCAACGCCCCCTGTGCACAACCGAGTGTTGGCTAAATATGTTGCTAGGTTTGCATGCCCCCTGATCCATGTAGTGTGAGTTAGCAGAAACTGGCAGGCATTGCTCAAGTAGTTAAATAATGACACTAGGGTCATGATACCTTAGCTGGGGCTCATTATCTTGACTTCATTTCTAGTCAAGAAGCAAAAGAAAACTCCCATGGTGACTTATGAAGAGAAACACTCCATTAAGGCAGACACTAAAGCTAACGATTGCCTGAGTGTGTGTGTGATAGCTCTGCCTTGAGAACAGGTTACTGTTCAGAGAGGCATGTGCTGGAGGGAAGGTACTAGATTTATACTCAAAAGACCCAACTTCCCAGGCCTACTGCAGCCAGTGGCTCTGACGCTCCAGTTTCTTCCTCTGTAAATGGGAAATAATCCTGCCAGTCTCCCTGGGTTGTTGGGAGAAACGATTACGATAATGTATGTGAAAGTCCATTTGAAGAAAACGGAGTGCTAAATAAACACTCCAAGGATACATATTTGAAACACATCTAGGCAAAAATGTGGTTTGCAAACGTCTTGCTCTAGATGGGTTTGCTTCGTACTGTGAAGCGCTGAGCTCAGTTATAATCTGAGAAACACTGCAGCATTAAGCATGGGCAGTTACTACTCCTACATTTATTGCACATTTTCTTTCCAGACAACTAAGAGAGCCTCTATAAGGCAACGAATTGACCGCCGCAATTCCCATGCCAATGTATTCTACAGTGTTCTCATCATTGACCAAGCGCAGAGTAAAGACAAAGGATTGTACACTTGTCATGTGAAAAGCGGCCCAACACTCAAATCTGTTAACACCTCTGTGCATATATATGGTAAGCAGGTCACACCGTGCTTTCTAATCATTGTGGATCTGGGGAGCTCTGCAAAACAGGTAAATTTTCATTTGGCCAAGAGGTACAATGCCATGAATGAATACGACGTAGTCCCCTGTCTCCCCCTTACCACAAAGCAAATCCCATGAAGTGCTTTTTATATGTAATACTTTTAAATTGGACAGAGAATCTTTTCCTTATGAATTTATTATGGTTAATAATTCAGTTAGATCATATTATAACCTCTATGAAATTCTTTAGTGTTCCATAAAAACAAAACAGAAAAACACGATCAGTTTTACCTTTGTTTTCCGGGGGAAATTTCTCAGGTTCTTCTATGATTTAGGAAATAAAAATATGGCCTGATAAATTATTTAGAATTGGTGTTATTTTTATCCCCAGGTTTACTCTCACAAAATCCTAATAGTGTTGCTTAATTCCAGCAGGCAAATTCTGTAAAGAAAATACCTAAACCTCTTTAGAATCCTTAAAAACCTTATTTATTTCACTGTTGAAAAGAAAAAAGTGTGAGAAGAGCAGAAAATATGGAACAGTTCTGTTCAGTGGCCTTTGATGTTCTTTTTGACTTCACCCAATTGATTTATTTTGTATAAATTAGCTGTTTGGGGGTGTCTGGAGCAGGTTTCTCCCTTTGTGCTCATACAGTCGGAGGGGATTTTTAGCAGTGTATCTCTACCCTTTTGTTACTGTGATACAGATATTTAAGGGGCTTTGCTTTCTGTTGCCTTGCTGCAGTTTTTATGACCCTGGGACTTGCAACCATCTGATTGGAAAAGCATCTCACCAATTAGGGTACTTTTAAATTATTTTATTCATTGATAAACATTTGGGTTCATTGATAGGCTTGATTAAAATTCAGCTGTTCATGGATTGGTTGCACCCTCCTTTCATGAGGCAGTAAGCTGGTGGTTTTTTGTTTTTGTTTTATTTACATAGGTGTAGTCTTTTCTAATGATTTTATCACTCTTTCCTTTCAAAGATAAAGCATTCATCACTGCGAAACATCGAAAACAGCAGGTGCTTGAAACGGTAGCTGGCAAGCGGTCTTACCGGCTGTCTGTGAAAGTGAAGGCATTCCCCTCGCCAGAAGTTGTATGGTAGGACCATAATTATCTTCCTATCTGCTTAAGATATGCTCTGTTCAGAAGGAAAATGCAGGAGCCCAATGACTCAAATTCCTGAGAAAATATTAAGATAAGTTCCCCAGACAGCACTAGACAGCTAAGAACTGTGTTGATTTTGTGGTCTGGAAATGGGGCGGATAGAAAGGGCTGGGGAAGGGAAAGAAGGTACCAGGATGGGGCAAAGGGCTAGGTTTTCTGAGGTCTCATTTCACTGTAGTCATTTACTCACTACAACTAAACTTCTGCATCTCTAAACCTTCCTGTGTTGTCAGCACCCTTTGACTGGACCACATCGGGCAATGACTAGAAAGCATCTTGAATATGCAATATGCTCTATTAACTCTGAAGAAGTGGCCCCTTGTAATGAGGATACTAATTGTCTTATTATCTCGAAATAAATCTTTTATATACAGCTGGGTTGAAAGTTCAAGTCTTGTTTTAAAATTAAACAAACATTAATAGAGACAGGACTTACTGAGTTGCAGGAATGGACAAATGGACCTACTTGATCTAATTAAGTTTTTTTTGGCTTGACGTGTGCATATTCAGAAACTCCTTAAGCAGTTTCTTTTATGCTAGCACAACACCTGATGTAAGACAATGTAATCTGTTTATAATCTGCAGTCATTTTATTAAATCACTTTTAAACACCAATATCTTTGGCTCAAGCCATTCCATTTTAAACAAAGAGTATAGTTCAAATGGAGCAGGAAAACAACCCATACAATATAAAAGTGGTGCCATTTTCGAATCTCCTCAACCAGGTCTTACTTTGCTTTCAATATGAGTGTAGTGTTTGTTTTCAGTTTTCTCAAATAGTTAATAAAGGATTAAAGAGAAAATTAAGTTCTGTGCTGTGCCTCTTCGTGCCATCACAGTGGACAAGAGATTTTTGTTTCATAAAATCTACAAGTTTAATAACAGATTTCCTATGAGTGCACGTTACTCTCTAATAGGGATTTAATCACTCTAAGAGGTACATTCCCTCTTTCAGTGTCTGAGAGTCCCCATCTTTTCAAGGATACTCTTTTCTTCAGTGACTAAGTAGCAAGGACCTAAAATAAACAAAAAATCCATTTTTTTGAAAATTCTGATTTGTTAATAGGAAATCATTCAAAGTGATACTAAGGTGGTATTTGTAATCACAAAATAGGGCATATTCATTTCAACTGCTTTGGAACTGAGACCCACTAGGAATGGGAATCTGTTTGCAGGACCACGTACTTACCTGCATGGATGTGAACTAATACCATTCCCTGTTCATTATACCATTATACGGAACACAATCAACTCCTAACAGAGTCTTTTAAAATGCCCATTTAATGAACTGTGCATTTTAATGGCCACATAGAACTTCTGAGTTAAGAGAGATCTTTGAGAAACTCTAGAAAATTTGGGGAAACTGAGGCTGAAACAGAGACATCAGGTGCACAGCATGCAGAAGCAGGGTCTGGTCAGGCACTCAGGCCTCCCGCTGTCAGTTCTGTATGCAATTACATTGATTCTATATTTATTTTTATATTCCATATTTAAGGTTAAAAAAAATTAAGTTCATAACTTTTGTTTGTGAGGTTTGTGCCTTAACTCTTCCTCCTCATGGGAAAGGTCTTGATAATCTTGATTTCACTCTAGCTTATGAAAGGGACAACTGGTGGGACCATTTGTATAACTAATAAGAACGCCACGTGAGACCACAATGGGAACGTCTATTTTTATTTTTATCTGGAGAAGTGATCTAGTTGGTCTGACTTACAATAGCCCTTGTATTCCTGATGGAGTCTCGTGGAAAACACTGAAAAACATCGGGAATGGAATCAGCCCCTGCCTCTGGGTGAATACTTAAGTCACAATGGCGCCCAGCATCCCTGTGGGTACATCAGACCACCACTTTTCTTTCTTGCTCTCTGCTAAAAATCACACCTGGCTTTACTGGAAAGTTAGGGTCTAAACTTTTTAAATGAATGTTGAAGAACAAAGGCTCCAAACGTATGAACTTGAGCTCCCATATGTAAATGACAGTGTTAAAGGGGTATCTGCGAGGCAGTGTGAAGTGACTTACTGACCATGTTCTTAACCGCAGGTTAAAAGATGGATTACCCGCGACTGAGAGATCTGCTCGCTATTTGGTTCATGGCTATTCGCTAATTATCAAAGATGTAACTGCAGAAGATGCCGGGGACTATACAACCTTGCTGGGCATAAAGCAGTCGAATGTGTTTAAAAACCTTACCACCACGTTAATTGTTAATGGTGAGTTTACTGTTCATACTTTCTTCCGGTTCTGACAGAGGTGAAATTAATGACATTTTATAAATGAAAAATCAGTATAACAACATCAGAAAACCAAAATTGTAAATAATTATTTTTAAAAACCACTTGTACCTCCATCATAACTATTTCATGTCTGCTCACTACCTTCCATAAGCAATGATTTTTTTATAACTGTAATCATAATATATATATACCATGAATTCATTTTTTTTAATGTTCTCCAACACTTCTACTTTTATAAAGATTGCCATTATAATGACAAATAGGAGGGTGTGCCTGTTTTTGCTCATGCATTTGTTGCCCTGATATCAAAACCAGTGAGAATATGGCCCTTCACTTTGTGGCCAGGAGAAAGTCATTAGAACAGCCCTTGACTTCCTGTCCTGTTCTTTATCACCTTTCCAGTGAAGCCCCAGATTTATGAAAAGTCTGTGTCGTCATTTCCAGACCCAATTCTCTACCCACTGGGCAGCAGGCAAATCCTGACTTGTACCATTTATGGTATCCCTCAACCTACAGTCAAGTGGTTCTGGCATCCCTGTGACCGTACGCATCCCAAAGCAAGGTAGGGACTCGTTTTTTGAATAACTTGCAAATACTTTTTGACACTTGGATTCAGATTCTTTAACGGACATAGATGGGAGCTTGCCGATGGGATGTGCAGCATATTTGGGACCAAGGCTTTTCCTGATCTGGAGAGAGATAGGCAGTGATTATTATTCTTTACCCAGTTCTAACCATTCCAGAATTTTCTCTCTAGTTTATAGCTTTAGGAGCACAGAGACAGAATTGAGATCACCCTGTGAGCCATTCAGAACTCAGGTTGACAGTCCAGTCTCTTGTTTTCCAACTGGGGATCCCCACTCTGTGGCTGTACCACTATATCATTTGCACAGGTCTTCCCACTTCTTTGTGAACACTGGATATGACAGGAGGTCTTCCCAGCAGTGATGATGGCCTCCTTTCATAGGCTTTGCTCCTGCTCTTCCACCTGCCTCAAAGGCGCTTCAACCCATTTTCCATCTCCTAAGAAGTCCTTTATCCTGCAAGCCTCGGGTTATGTTACCTTCTCTGCAAGCCTACCTGACCGCCTCATTCAGACTCCTTCCTCCCTCCTCAGAATGAATGGCACTTGGTTTACACCATTGTTATGTCACCAGTTACGCATGCCTTTGTTTTTTCTCTACTCAGTGAGGCCATTGAGAGTAACCCTGTATCTGCAGGGCCTCAGGGCCTCGGCACACACAGCAGATGCTCGCTGTGCATTTGCTGAATGAATACATCCCTACCCTCTGCTAACTGTGCCATGTTTCCTTGCATCCTGTTGATGACGGAGCCCTGTTTGCTTTTCTTCCATTTTTGTTTAGTCTAGAGGAATGATACTAATGATGGCTCATGGGAGCTAATAGCAAGAACAGGAATAGAATTGATAAATGCAGCAATAAGATAGTATTGAGACTGCTCAAGAATTATTATGCCAGATATGTGCCTTACTGCTTTTAACTCCATCTGCTGTTTGAGAATTCAGAGAATTGCTACTTAAAACACAAAAACGTAGCTGATAAAAAGTAAATAAGACATGATTCTAGCATAAACAGGAGTGGCTCTTTGTTTTGTTTTTGGATTCTTCCTGCAGTTGCAATGCTTCATCATGTGTTTTAATCTTTTGTTTAAGGCATATTAATTTTTCTGTTAATGAAAGTTATTGGGGAATTTTGGAATTCCTAAGAAGTAGCTGTTTCCGCATGTCTGATTTCTCATCTGAGTGTCATTTTCTAAGAATAGAAATAATGTAGAACTTTCAAATCTTGAGTACCACTTTACCATTGGGGATATTTAATTCAAAAGAAAGTGAGATGTACTGAGATTTGGGTATTATTTTGCTAATTTGGGCATAGGCATTCATATGTATGGACCCATCCCTTTAAGGCCTTGGTATTTGTGCTAAAGTAACATGCAAATAAATAATTTAAGCTATTAGATTTGGATAAAAGTATAGAGTTGAATTGTTTTGTGGAATAGCGTCACCTTTTGTAGATACCTTTATTGACAATATCAAATATAAAATTTCAATTCTATTCAGGACTAGAACTAGTAACTATTCTAGAAAATAACAGTTATGAGTGATAGAACATAATATTATGAAGTTAGGTTTGAATAATTTTAATACCATATGGTTTGGGAAGGAGGTGAGCTGAGGTGGAAGTTTGTGAACATTAGCTCTCTTTTTCCAATATCTTTGTGGTATATGGGGTCCTTCTCCCACTTTATGGAGTAAGCCTACAGAGGCAAGGAAAAATGTCTTTTTCCTCCTGGAACTCTTTTAAGACTCAGAGCAGTGCCTTCAATCTTCAGTAAATGTGTTTTGACAGTTTGACTTATTCTGTTTAAAGGTATTCATTATTTTTTAACCAATCACAAGCCAGATCTGAAAGGAAAGTTTACTTCATTGGTGCTTTGTTAAAAAAGCATGTTGTTGCTTGCAGTTGTCTTCTGAAAATGTGCATATCCATAAGAAGGCTCATGTATTGGTCAGCAATCTGATGGAGTAACTTCTCTGGGTTTGGGCCAGATTTGGTGCTTGATGGTTACATCAGGAAACTTAACTTAGAAGTATTTCAGAAAGATGTGGGGGACCTTTGTGCCCTAGGAAACAAGTAGAATAAAGAGTAACTATTACACACTGTCAGTTAAAAGCTAAAACTGACAGGTATATAAAGCCCTCTTTAATTATTAAAATTTTTTTAGATCTTATTTTGAGTTACACAGTAACATATTTATTTGTATAACAGTATCTGTGCATGATCATCAAGAGATTAAGTGATTAGTATATACATGTTACTCTTGAATATGTAGACTAATTCTTGGTATTTAAATATTTTAGGCTCTAAAGGACACATCTATATATATGGACACAACCAGAGTATTAATTTAGTTTTGAGGTTAGAATTATTTAAGTAGCTCAAAATCATTAATTGGTTGAATAATACATTAATTGGTTAATGTATCTAAATGAAAGAGGTTCAGACTTAAACTGTACAGTTTTCAGGAGTTCAGTAAATACATGAATATATTTTGAAGTGGTCAGAATTACTGCTCAACTAGTTCATCTTTATGAATATTAAAAGCCCTAAATAAAATTAACAGAAATTTCCTCTTTTTTAAAAAACAAATGCTGTAAAATGCTGAGCAATGTTTTAACTGAACAACTTGTGGTTTTTGATTCACCTAGAATTTTTTCTGATAAAACATTAGGAATAAAAGAGGGGAAAGGGTGGTTACTTTTAAACTGATACACTTAATAAACTGAGAAGAAATATAGCACAGTCTTTCCCCCTTTTACTTTTCTGCATATTTGGGTGGTAAAGTAGTAGTAGAATTAGAATATTTCTTTTGAATTTTTAATAACATTCAAGTAAGTTCGTGCCACTAAATGCAGTGGAATTTTGGGTTTTTCTCATCCCCAGCAATTGGCAGAGACTTCTAAATAGATATTCCTAAACTTGCTCCAGATTAGCATGGGCATAAATCTAGGGACTATACATAAGGATCTTAAGCTCATAGTTCCTTTCACATGTGTGTAGTTTACAGCTTTTGATCATGTAAAATAAAGATAATTATACTCGCTTCATAGGGAGAATATGAGGATCATGGTTTTAATGATTTCATTTCTCTAGTAAGGCTCCAAAAGTTTTAAGGAACTTCAAAAGAATTCTGCTATAGAGCAAATTTCACAACAGTCGAGAATTTTTACCTAACAGTTCTGAGAAGTGAACACACATTATGCACTGTAGAATGTAATTTTGCCAGGCTTTAGATACAGAATTCGGTAGGTCTGGCTTGAAGAATTGAGGAAAACATAACTGATGATTTTTCAGAAGAAGAAAAGTGAAAAAGAATAGAGATGAGTTAGGCAAAAGAAAGAAAAAGCACAAGTGTGTGATGAGGGAAAAGAGTGACTGTCCCAGTCGGTGTGACCTGTCCCGTTGGTTTCCCGTCATGGGAGGAAGTGGTTGGGACTTGTGGGTTGGCTAAGGCTGGGGTGTGGCAGAGTGGACGTGGGAGAGCTGACCCCCGCTCAGCATCCACATGGGGTTTCCAGAACTTCCCCTCCCCCTGGGCTTTGAAGAACGAGGTAGGACCCCCGCATCGCCCGTGCAGGGAGCCGGTCTTGCTCTCACGGTCCTCGGTGAGCTGTGACACAGCCCTGGGAGCCTCATAGGAAATGCTGTTTGGTTGAGATTGCCCTCTGCAAGGACTTCGGTCTCTAAAGGAACAAGTAATACTGGACAAAAGGGACGGGCACTCTTAGGAAGAATTCAAGGACCTCAGGAGGGAATGGGGAAAGGCCAGTCTTGGTATAATCTGTTTGTACTCCAGGTCACTAGTTACATTTTTCTCAGGAAGAATCTAGGATGTTCAAAGACTGCTTTAATTCATGGGCAGTTGAATACCAAGGAGCCCCTCAGGTACCTGGCTGCAGAACCTTGTGCCTAGGTGGGATCCCGGCCCCCTACCAACAGGAGGTGGGGAGTGGCGGCCGCCGGCTCACCCTTCCCTGGGGTCTCTGTTAACTCACATCCCCTCCCCATTGATGTCCAAAGTCTACCTGGTTGTTTCTGAGGAAGTCCTGTTTTGTTTTGTTTTTTTAAACTAAGCCCTGCCTTTAAAATGCTGAATGTGTTGGGTCTTCTCTTTAGGGAGGTTTCAGGCCTGCTTGTGTGACTGCGGTTCTGTTTTTAGAGCCCACATGCTTCAGGCCACAGACCGCTTTCATTCTCTCTTCCCGTGTAGCTGTCCTAATTATAATTTCAAGGTGATAGATAACTTTGACAGATATGACAGAGTTGCAGCACACACTCTTCTATTACCCTTTAATGGAAAATCATGTTAGATTGGATTCTTTGTGAAAATCTTCTTTTCTTTATCAGCTATCTTTGATGACCAATAAAAATACATAGAAACTTCTGCTACTTGTCTTGCATTAGCATTGCTCACATCTTACAAATTCATTTTGTACCTCACCAATATTCGATCTAAATATACTGTCAGTCATCTGCTTACTACACATATATTTATGGGGTACCAAACCATGGGCAAAATATAAAGATGTCTTTAGCACATATGGTTTAACGTTATGAGATCAAACACCATTGGTGATTTCTGATTCTATCTCTGTATGTACCTGTAGAATATCTACTCCACAGACTCAGCGACAGAGACCTGGGAATCAAGGAAGTGGGTTCTATTCTTGGCACAGTCCCTGACTTCTGGGTGACCTTGGCCAGCTATTTAATCTGTGCTTCAATTTCCCCTGCTGTAAATGGCAACTGCCGCCCTTCCCCTTTCTTAGCATGCACAGCTATTAATGAGTGAAATGAGAACGTCACTTAAAATTACTTCTGCATCTTTCAGAAAAGCTTGAAGTGATCCCTGACTTGTTGCACACGGATATTTCCCTTCTGCTGCTTACAAATTATAAAGCAGTTTGACCTGAGGATCAAAGCCAAATGAACAGAAAAAAAATCTATTTATGAAAGTAGGATGGTTATAAGACGTCTTACG